CAAGGATTTGTAGAACTTTTTTTTAGATACGTATCATCTTTGCTATCCAAGGGTTTCTCTTCCGCTACTCTCCTCACAAACCCAGGGTTAGGAGAGCAGCGGATCAGAAACCGAAGATGAGATACGTACATGGTATGTATACACACAACAATATTTGTGACTTTTTTTTTCAATTATTTAAGATACAGCTACATTGTATGTAAAGATGATAGAAAATTAGTTAAATAATTGTTCTTGTACCTCATTCGAGGTTTTTTTTCTGCTTGTTGGAAAGATCCGACAAGTTCGAATTGGGACAAAATGTGACAGATTCTGAAAACAGTTTTAATTAATTCAGGTCGTTTGAAGGAAGCATCGGCACCTGTTATCATAAAGAAAAAGCAAAATAGTGTCTTTTATGAGAAATTTGTTTTTCCAACAAAGAAAATGTTGTACAGAAAAGAGTCAAGAGACTGAAAACGGTTTTTATATTTTCTTTTATTTACTGATAATAACGGCAAATAACTAAATTGAAGGTATGTATGGTGTCCGGATAGGGCCATTTGCAAAAGCTCAACAGCGCGTTCAGAAAAACACGCTGTTGAGCTTTTTGCAAATGGCCCTATCCGGACACCATAGGTACATGTATGCCTGTGTCTTTTATCTAAATAAATACAGTTTCTGCCAAAGTATATAGATGTAATGGGGTGAAATATAAGGGTTTGGTGAAAATGCTGTATGTTTATTTTATCTTTGTTTTACATGGAATCTTCATTAACGTTCTCTCCAAAATGTCATTCTTTTGAAATTCTGAACCTTACCGGTATCCTTTCTCCTGATTTTCTTTCCAAGCTCTTTGCTTCTGATTTACATTTCCCATCTTTACAGGCGTTGCAGTTTCTGATTTACGATTTATTTTTAAGCTTACATTATAGATGTAGACTATTAAAGAATATAGCGAATACAGTATGCTTGTTTTACCAGCCTGCTTCAAGTGATAGTTAATGAAGAGACTAAGCTATGGGTATAAATTTTAAGACGAAGATTCATTTTGAAACCAATATTTTTCACTTTGTCCAGTTGTTTAAAGAATTGCCATCCTAGGAAATTTTGATTTGACAAAAATTTCCAAAAAGTGGAAATTTACAATGCTATAATGTGGACTTTGTCAGTAGATTAAGTTCCATAACGACACAAAGTCAGTTGTAGGTGGTGACGAATATTTTGATAATAGCTGTATATAATAGTTATAAGAAAACCTGAAATAAAGTTGTTATAATTATTAAAAATTACTAATATTTAGGTACTATACTTTGAATTTTAAAAGTTTTAATTATAAAAATAATAGAAAACATGTATATAAAAAATATACTTCCAAGCACTACTATAAATCAGCTATAAGATATAAAGATACATCTATCGTAAGAATAGGAAGGTCTTCCGCTGAAGACGGAATTATAAAATATTTGTCAAATCTTGTGCTGTATAAATATTACAAGCCAATTACCATTTAAAATACATATCAGCAATACACAGTGAATACATCTTTTGATTTTAAAGGAACATATATAGGACAGACACACGAAAAAAAAATATGACGAAACTTTCAGAATGATCTCAGATATCAACCTCTTTGACCCTTTGACCTTGACCTAGGAGTTTGACCTACTTTTGAAAAAACTTTAACCTTGGCCGTAACTTTTGAATGGTTGGAGCTAGGGCAATCCTACTTCACATATGTAATCCTTGTGACAAAAACCTTCCTTTGGATACCAACCACTTTGACCCTTTGATCTTGACATAGGAGTTTGACCTACTTTCGAAAAACTTTAACCTTGGCCCTAACTTTTGAATGGTTGGTGCTAGGGCTTTCATACTTCACATATCTAATCCTTGTGACAAGATCTTCCTTTGGATATCAACAACTTTGACCTTGACGTTTTACTTACTTTTAAAAAACTTTAACCTTGCCATAAATTTTGAACAGTTGCAGCTAGGGCTTTCAAATTTCACAGGTATATTCCTCGAGACAAGACCTTTCTTTGGGTACCAACATTTTTTATCTTTTGGCCTGGATTTTGACTTGCATTTGAGAAACTTTAACCTTCGCCATAAGCTGCCATACGGGGGCATCAGTATTTCACAAATACATCTTGTTTATCGACTTGGGTCAGTCGTGGCCGGAATTTGAACCCACGACTTCCGATCAGGGAGCCAGCGCCCTACCGACTAACCTTTTTTAAAAATAAGATTTAAAAAAAAAACAACAGAATGTCCTCAAACTCGCTTTGATGACAGTATTTAGTACCATTAATTCGTTTCAGGCAAAAATTGGTTGTTCTTTGTCATTATACCATGGCAATATGCCCTAAAATTAATTTTTTTTTTTTTTTTTTTGAACAGTTAAGAGTCTCTTTTATAACAATTGCAGCAATGCAGAAAACTGTTTCCAAAAGTAAAAGACTTGATTTCTTATAATCATAATAAAAAGACGGGAAAACAACTAAAACAAACCATTTTACCATGGAAGCAACGTATTGAAAGCATTAATTTTATTAATTTTGACTAAACTTTTAATTATTCATACATTTTGAATAATAAGAAATTTTAATTAAAAAAAATTAAATGTAAAGACTTTTTATTGCTATGACAATAAAACTGAAAAATAATTGCTTTCCAATTTTTTTTGAAAGTTTTCATATTTTTATCTTTTCACAGAGCACACTACAATAAACCAGGAAAATAATTTTTAAAGGCAGTGGTCTGATTATTTTTTCCCCCAAATTTTACATAGTTTAAAATGTATTCCAAATATAGAGTGTTGCTATGGAACTTCAATAAAAAACGTATTAAAAATATCTGAAAAGTACTTAGTTTCCTTAGATGCGTATACCTTTGTTCACAAGAGAAAAGTAAGGAACTAATTTGATAAATTCTATTTTTAAAAAAGTCATTACATCTGCATAAGAAAATAGCAAGAAATCTCAGTTGGTAAATCAATTTACCCGAAGAAAGTAACTATCGGTATAATCGAGTACTTGAGTTTTATTGAATAAAAAAGCGCAAGAATTATGTATCTTTGTGTATAGTCAAATTGTTCATGTAAAAATTTGAAATCGGATCAAAATTGTAGAACAAAAGTAACTTTTATTTATTTATTAATTTTTGTAGTCACTGCGACAATGTTCATCGGAATCAAAGTATTTACTAGTTTAACTGTGACCAAAATGTTGGAATGGGTAGCGTTATTGTTTTTATTTCTTTTTCATTTTAGTGACCATGACAACGCCATTAGTCAAAACCAATATAATGATATATAAAGAATAAATACATGTATCTTGATGAAGTCTGCTTGTTTGTCAAGATTTATTGAAATTGTGCAAACTGTACCGTTTTGAAGTAATGATTACATTCACAGACAGAGAGAGACATGCGGACAGATTGAGGGATGATGAACTCTTTACCACTGCACAGTGTGTTCTGGTGTACCAGAGAAGCTAAAAGCTGGTACAAATGAAACTAACTCTTGCAACCCAGATATCAAGACTCCATATAAAATAATTCAGTACTAGCTAAGTTTGTCATGGGAGGTTAACGTTTTGGTGTTAGTTCTTCACCACTACAATAAGATATCAAGTAAAAGTACATTACAGTGTTCATATTTGTTCTATATCGAAAAAAAATCGATTTAAGGACGTCTTGAGGTCTAGTTTTGTTAAAATAACTGTTGTTCAAAGTTTACATATAATTGTTTGATTCGTTTACAAAAAGCAAACAGAAATTTCTTTGTAAATGGTTTTCCACATTCACAGAGGGATATGCTTCTATCAGAGTAGGTTCAATTGATGACAGTTAATTTAAAGTTAAGAACTTATATCACAATAGCTTTTTTACGCAACAAGACAGTTTTTGATCGCGATTTTTTTTTCTGTTTGTCATGTACCGTACTATAAAGATTTAAGTCTAACATTTAATTTTACCATGAATGTTACACCCTATGCATTTGATTTTCCATTATATGTATTCAGAAATACACGCAGCCTTCTTTTACAAAAAAAATTTGTGAACCCAGTGCACTTGACACAAAATAAATCTCTCTCTCTCTCTCTCTCTCTCTCTCTCTCTCTCTGAATAAATAATAAAAATAAACATAAAACTAAGAAGTCATTTATTGCCATGCTTTGTACATTAAATAACAACTACTAATATCACAGATATTTTATAAAATGACAATGATGTATAATTACAAATTTAGCTAAATGCTACGAACAGGATTAAAATGCTACACATAAAGGGGGAAAATGTACTTAATGGGAAAAAAAAGTAATACAATTAACTTTAAAGCTTCAAGTATACAGTAAAACATGCATGGTTGGAGGTGGGGGGGGGGGGGGGGTTAAGAATCTAAACAAATGCCTACATACTGGGGTAAACGCCAAACTTGCACATCAATAAATGAAATGCACTCATGACTGTAGACATATAAAATATATCAAGTTCCGCAAAACAAGTCCGTTGATGTGAGCAATTCGTAACCAGTGTCAGTAAGGCATTCTGGAAATAGCACCAGGCATTGTTATATCATTAAATGCATTAATACATTAAATCATTGTGATGTCCATTTGATAAACTTTATAAGATAATAAGAACCTTTAACAAAGTTGATAAAATAAAATACGGATATTTAAATCAGACATAAATACGTCTGTCACGGAGGTCAAGCGTATTGGGGAATTGATCAACTGCGTGTATTGTTCTGTTTTTATATCTGAACGGGCTGATGGGGCTTTAATTGGGATTTATAGCCGGGTAGATATGGTGCTGATACGCCCCACCAGTGTGGGAAAATCAATCAGTAATATACATAGGCTATGTGTAATTAAATACCCCAATTCAATGTAATGTGATTTAAAATGAAATTATGAAAAACGTAAATGTTCAAAATAAAAAAAAAAAATTGTGGAAAAAAAAGATTTCCGTTTTTTGGAGTCGGAATATAATACATGTAAATAGCACCTACAGAGAAAGAACTAAACATTATGAATTATTTAGAAAATTTAAAAGTTGAACAATGACTAGAAAAATATCTAAATCACAAATATTAAATGAGCAGATAAAGACATTTTAGTAAAAATTTGATTACCGTGAATTCTAAACGTACATGTGTATAAAGAAAATACTGCTACCATGAATAATACAAATGTATGCCCTTCTGTATCTGTTCACCTCTTTAGAACGTTTTTCATAGTATGTACACATTCCTAACGGAATAAGCCTTTTCTTTGGGTTGATCAGTCTATTTCACGGGAGCAGACTTCTCGCGAGATTTGATGGGTGGCGTTCCGATTGGTGAAACTTTCTTTTTCCCGCGTTTTGCTGACTTTGGACTGACCTGCGTCTCGGCCACCTTGTCGCTTGGTCGTTCCCGCGGCTCACGTTCCTTAAAGCTCTCCTGATCAGCGTTTTCAACTTTAATTTTTTGACGAAGGTTTTCCCAAGCTTTTGGCCAGCCTCTCGTAATTTTGTTCTCGGAAACATTAATTTCTTTCAGTTCCGGCATTTTGCAGATCTTTTCCGGTAAGGATTCGATAATGTTATCAGAGAGATCCAGAATTTCCAATGATTTCATTTTATCCATGTCGTTTGGGATCGACTTGAGGTCGTTACTTGCTGCCCTGAGAACTTTCAGTCTATAAAGATAAGGAAATTCTATCGGCATTTGGTCAATATGGTTCTTGGAAATATTAAGCTGCAGTAAAGAGGCCAGAACATCGATCTGATCTTTTGGGAAATTTAGGAGCTCGTTCTCGGAGAGGTCCATAGAAATGAGCTTGTTTAGATCTCCAAAGTTGTCTGGTAAAAGTGTTATTTTGTTGTTTGACATATTAAGATCACATAGTGAGACCAAGCGCCCTAAACTTGGGGCGAAGTCAGTAAGGCCATTGTGCGAAACATGGAGTTTCTCTAATTTTTTAAGAGCACTTATTTTATCAGGTAGAGCTGTTATTTCGTTGTGGCATGCAGTGATGGACGCTAAACCTCTCATTTTGCAGATGTTGTCTGTCAATGTTTTCAAAGAATTGTTTGAAACATCAAGGTGTTTAAGGCACCTCAGGTTGAAGACGCTCGGGGGAATCTCATCCAAACCAAGTTTGCAAAGTGAAAGTGACGTCAGGTTCCTAAGGTGATCTTTGTCACCCATGACAACAATGGCGGACCTGAGGTCAGTTGGGTTGATGGATAGAGGATTGTCTGACAAGTTAAGATGCGTCAGAGTCTTTGGGAGGTTCAACTCATTCAGACCATTATGCGAAACATCTAGAGACCGTAGTTGGTACAGAAAGTCGATGGATTTAGGCATGAGCGCAATTTCGTTATGACTTACATGGAAAGTTTCAAGATTTCGTAACTTTCGAAGGTCCGTTGGTAACACTGTTAAGCGGTTGTGGGACAGATCTAAGAATGTCAAAACTTGACCTTGACCCAGGCTATCTGGTATAGAAGAGATCTTATTTCCGCACAGGTTTAAACTCTTCAAACTTTTAACGTTTCCTATGTTACCAGGTACCTCTTTAATTTTGTTCCACGAAAGATCAAGTGTGACAAGCGACTTCATTTGATCAATTTCATCTGGTATAACCTCGATCGAATTTTTCGAGAGATACAGGTGCTCCAACTGTTTCAGGTACACTGCAAATTTCATTGATATTAATTTATTTTCGGAAACTCCTAGTGTTGTTAAGCACGGAAGGTCTCGTATACTCTCGGGGAGGTACTCCACCTCATTTTTGGAAACATCAAGATAAGTCAACTTTCGAAGGCTCTTGATGCCGTCTGGTAACACCGGTATTTCATTATGAGAGAGGTCCAGGTGGTCAAGTGCGTATCCTAGATTGCAGATTTCCTCCGGTAGAGTTTTGATGTGGTTATGGGAAAGATTCAGGTAATGGAGGTAACGGACTCCCCCTATCTGTGCCGGAAGTTCCTGTACCGCATTATGCGAAAGGTCTAACCACGTGAGACGCGAGAGTTTGTCGATATTCTCGGGAATCAAAGTAACACCATTTCGCGCCAAATTAAGCTTCTGTATGTTTGGTTTTTTGACAGCTGCTGTTGGCATCTCTGTTATTCTATTGTCCGATAAGTCCACCTCAGCGGTCATCTCGTAAAGTCCTTTCTTGATGGACCGGATCAAGTTTGAAGACAAGTCCATGTACGCTATTGAGGACTTTCCAATGTTCTTCGGGAGAGCACGAATCTTGTTATTTGAAGCATAAAGCTTCTGTAAACCTGTACATTTGTGTATTGCTGGCGGTAATTTCTTGATTGCATTGTTCTTAATTATCAAAACTTCAAGTTTCTTCATTCTGGACACAGAGCCTGGAAAGGTTGATAATGTGTTGTTGGTTATATCAATATGCTCCACATTATCAAGAGCTGCAATACCTTTTGGAAGCCTCTTCAGTCGATTATTTTCCGCTGTAAATTTCACTGCCAGCTGACTTAGTTCTTCATTATTGTAAATTTCGATTGGCAACGATTTCCAATTCCCATTACCGAATTTCAAATGGATTTTCTTTCCATCGGGGAGCTTTTTGAGGTACTTCTTGACAGGGTCAGGGAGGGATATAATTTTGCTCCCTGGACCCGTGGCGGGTGGGGGCTTTTCGTCCTTCTTTTTCCTCCTTGCGCTCATCTTGGTTATCTATTTGCTGTTACTGGGCGCCGTTGCCTGGTTCCCAGCCTGTTAAATAGAAGATACCAGATGCTTATGGTGACAAAATCCACTTAGTATCTATAATGTCAATGGCACTGTCACTAACAACACATTTTTACCCATTATCGAATAAAATCGATACAAAAATATCCAATCACTGCAAGACATTCAGAACAGAAAATTAAATCACTGTCATTAAATGTACATTGAAAAACAAGGACTTTTCCCTGGGGTTTAAATAACTTTTTCATATAGCAAGGTCACTCTATGAATTTAGAAACTTTTATTGCCTTTCATTAAAACGTGTCGAATGTAAAATGCTGGAATATTTCAGAAATAGCATGTCATTTAATATCAAAAATTCCATTATAAACTGGCTGAATATACAAAGAAATTAAAGATTCCAGAGTTTTAAAAATTCACTTCCATCTTATCAATCAAGGAATGTACATACTGTATACCTATAGCATTAGAAGGCATGCATAGGCAAATTGACAAGTTGCAGCGATATACATGCATTATGTTTAATAAAATTTTGCAGTAAATCAATCTCATTTGATTGGAAGAATCTTTTTATAAGAATTGTTGAAAGGACAGAAAAAACTTCAAAGCTTGGTAAGTTTAAATTAAAGCTGACTACACGGTTTTATTGTGAAATATGGTTGTGAGATTGTGGAGAGAGAGAGAGAGAGTTGTTACATTAAATTTCTTATTGTTGGCACAATTATACTTAGAAAATATCTTGCTACTCTATTGTCTCAACCACAAGAATACTTTTTTTTTCATTGAGATTCACCATAGATATTCCACCTTGGGCATTGAATGCAATCGATATAAAAGCAATGATTTTCGCTTAATGCAGAGTAATCCGGCATTTGTTCTTGAACAGTTTAGCAAACAGAATTTCCTCCAACCCTGAATCCGAAATTGATCATGAATTTTGTTTTATGAAAAGGAATATTGATGTTATTTTGTGTCGACAGGTAGTTTACACGGAAGAGGCTATATTTCAATTCCAAAGCATACTTTGTGTATATAAATACTCTTTACACTTAAAATGCCTATGAATGCAACAATTTTGATTTTGGAAAAGACAGTGATTTCTGTAATATAAATATTAATTTAATCAATATTCTTTCACAATTAACGGTACATTTCAATTTCACCACATAGTTCGTGTTAGATACACTGCACATTTAAAATGCCTATACGTATGCAACAATTCGGATTTTTGAAAAGACAGTGATTTCTAATATTAATGTAATCAATATATTTCTAAATTAAAAAAAAAATTATCAAGTCATCGTTTTGTCGATTTGATGTTTGTTTTGATAACAATTTTGGTCTACTTTGGGTTAAAAAGTATTATCTCCGTTAAACAAAGCCAAGATCCCCTGAAAAGAAAATTCCTCTGGATATTTATTTTATACCTAGACCTATTGACATTTATAGTTAGAAGGGAAGGACCTTTAAACCTCTCATAGTTTATCTTGAGGTTTATTACCAACGCGGCTTTAAAAACGCTTCACTAGATAAAGTGTATGATTTTTTTTTATTAGTTGAAAATCCAAATTATATGTAATTTTCCTCCTGAAATACGCGGAAAAATCACGGATTTTCTTGAGATTCTCTGTGCAAACAAAAAAGTTAATCTATAAATTTCCAGGAAAATTAAAAACACTTGACGTTTTGTGCTTATCGAGAAGTCAGTTCATACCAGTATACCTGTGTAATTTAGATTTGCTGTTACATATACCATTGCGTGTTAGTAATTTACAGGATAATATGTAATCGCCAAAATTATCTGGAAATCGAATCGTGTTTTAGGCTGAGCCGATGAATAGGACCTCGGAGATTAATTATACAATTTATCGTTAGTAATGGTTTCATTAAAGATTCATAAGTTTAGTCTGCCGGTGTACATCGTTACACGAAACTCCGGTAGATTTGTTCGGATATCAAAAATAACAGACTGCATGCATAAATATACAGCAAACTTAAACACGATTTTAAATATTTAAAAAGTTGCCCTTCATAAATACAAAATTTCAAATCAATGTTTCTATGTACTTTCAATGCTCTTTAAATTTTCACCGTACCTTGAGTGTAGACAGATTTTATTAAGCCTAAATTAGTTAACTTTTATAACTATACCGAGCTAAAAGAGAATAACACAAAAAATTTGACAAAAGTGCTAACATAATATAATCTAATTACGTTTTTAAAGCAACATGTCATTAAGGCAACTTTTTCGAGTTTTCACCTGCGCTCAACAGGTATACACAAAGCATGAAAAGGAATAACTAATCAATATACAAGTTCCAACTCGATAAACTTACCTTCAGTGCACGTGGAAAAATCAGTAATATTTTTTTCCCTTGCATACTCGGAAAGATACACAGATTAATTAATTATTTAACTGTAATCGACCCTACCTAATCAAATGGAACGATCCACTCCTCTTGTGTTTCACCTCTTACCCGCCATGTTTAGAAACCGGCGATGCCAATATTTGTATCTAGGAAGTTAAGCGTATCGCCTGACGTCACGTTGTTTTGTCAATAGAAAAGTCAACATGTGCGAGTTGAGCTGGATATTTAAATTTGAAGAATTTTTAATTTAGATATAACATATTTTCTCGGAGTTTAAACGTCATTAAAACTGGTGTCTTTTTCTAAAACAATTATTGGACACTACCAAAATATGAATTTAAAACACTGAAAAATATTTTTTTTTAATTTTTTTTAATATATAAAATTGCTGTATCAAATTTAAAGAAATGTGTAACATTTTCTTATCTTGACAATAATGGTATACAGGTGGACCAAAGCATTTCATTTGAACTAATTTAGGTAAATATTAACTCACATGAAACAAAACAATCCACGATATACCCCCCCCCCCCCCTTTAAATTGTATGTTTGGCCGGGATGTCATTTTTAGTTCTACTGGTCAAAGACCAGAATTGCTCATGCTTTAGTAAGGTGCATTCCGTAGAACCAGTTTCAAAAGGGGGGGGGGGTGCTTCCCAAAACAATCTGAGAAGCAAAAAATCAAAAAACCGAAACAAAACAAAAAAAAAACTAATTAACTGTCCAAATCCTGGAATTTGCCAGTGGTCGACCTTACAGCAATAAAAGGGGGGGGGGGCAACAAACTTTTAAAGGAAAATTTACTATAGCAAAATACATGTACTATTCTCAGAAAAAAAAGTAGGGGGAACGCCCACCTGCCCCCCCCTCCCCCCCCCCCCACGTTCTACGGGCCTGAGGTGTTCGTCGTCAGTCCGTCAGTCTATCTGTAAACAATTTTTCAAAACGCTACTCCTCATACATTTTTTGTCTGATTTCAGTAAGACTTATTTCGCAAGTAGACTATACCAAGATACATAATTCTAAGTATAATTGATTAAAACAAACGGTGTTGCCATGGTTACTAAAAATAAAATTTCTTTTAAATTCTTTCAAAATACTACTCCTCCTATTATAGTTTAGTCTTATATCAATTTGATTAGGTACGCAAGTAAACTACTAGTATACTAAGATGCATAATTCTAAGTTTCACCGTTTTTTGATTTCGACACAGGGCGTTGCCATGGTTACTAAAAAAAAGAAATTTCTGTGAATTTTTTCAGAACCCTATTCTTCCTACAGTTTTAGAACAATTTCAATATGAAATTTGGTACATTAGTTATCTTTACTAGATACATAATTCTAAGTATCAGTTCGTGGTTATTAAAAAGAAATATCTGTGAAATTCTTCAAAATGCAACCCCTCTTACAATTTTTGTCGGATTTCAATAACACTTGGTAGGTAGACTTCTCTGAGATACATAATTCTTCTTATCGATTTTTGATTATGACAAACGGTGTTGCTATGGTTACTAAAAATAGAAATATCTGTGTTATTCCTTCTCCTACAGTTTAAATCCGATTTCAATAAGATTTGGTATAAAGTCATTTTGTCAAAATTTGTCAAGTAGACTTTTTTAAAAAAAATAATTCTATTCATTAGTTGTTTTTTTTTTAAATTTCAATGCTATGTGTTAGAATATATAAATAGAAATTTCTGTAAAATTCTTTCAAAACATTACTCTTCCTACAAATTTGTTTGGATTTCAATTATAGACTTGGTACACAAGCAGACTAGACTAAGAAACATATCTTTCTTGTTTATTAATACAAACCAGTAGAGCTGCAGTCTCGTCAGAGACTTCTAGTTTTAATAGTCGTTTCAACCCCTTTTCCGAACTACATTTCCTGGATCCATCCCTACTTTTGTTGTTCTATCGTAATATATCATTTTTTTTTTTACAGGTTTCTAGAATTTTTTTTCCCGGTTTTAAGAAAGGAAAATGTAGATTTTTTCATTCTTTTTTCAAATAATTCTTATTCTAAGTCTTTAGTATTTAAAGCAAGTTATTTTATTTTTTTTTCCCTTTCCATCCCTAAAAAAAGAAGACATATAATGTTTCTTTTGGTTTTTAATCTACGCAAACATTATAATTTTTAAACCAAAACATGCGCTTTACATGTACATACTTCCTGAAAGTATCGAAATAAAAAAGATTTTTCATTTTATGTATCGATACATCGTATCAACTCCCTCTGTATCACAGTGCATCGATATATCGATGTATTGTTACACCCCTATGTTTAGCCACACAGAAATTAAAAAAGTAAGGATTTTTTGAAAATATAATATTGCTACATTATGAAATTAAATTGCATGAGACCGCCAACAAAACGAAGTTAAACTTGTGTAAATCGTAACTAAGGATGATTTGACTTTCATCTGAAGATTTTTTTAAAATGTGTACAACTGTACAACGTACATATAGATGTATATTTTCTCAATTTTTGTTTTGAATTGTATAAATATTTAACACACAATGTAAGAATTGCATAAAAATAGCTACATCGAATGTGCTCGTTTTGAAATAAAAGCTATTATGAAGTCTGAATGTAGCTCTAAAACAGAAAATGTATGCGCACCTTTGAGTATACGTCAATGAAATGGGAGAGGATGGGGGATTATCACTGACTATATTTGAAAATTCAAAATAATAATAATAATAAATCTCAAATCATAAATAAAAATCAAATTATAAAAATACTTGTTTGGAATTGCAATCTTATCAAACCACGGTCAGGTGTGGAAATGAACAAAACGCCGATTTAGACACAACCAATATGAAGCAAAGTATGTCTCGATCCTACTTACCCCAACAAATTTCAGCAATGGAAACATTCTTACTGATTCTTGACATTATGAATCAGTGATTTTTATAAATTACTATGTGGTCTAGGACCTCAAAAATAGTAAAATCTAGGACGTCAAAAATAGTAATCTATAGGACGTCAAAAATAGTAAAATCATATTGTGAGACGTGGGATAAAATATCCCATGGCCACTTCTTTCAGAAATGTTGAATCTACTATCACCATAGGAAATGCCCCCCCCCCCCAAATAACCGAAGTGACATTTTGTTTATTTTAATTAGACTGTTAATTGATTTCTCTTCTCTTTGATTTTTTTTTTATAGTAAAATCAGTTACTCGCTTGTATCTCCATTTAAGTTGAAATGTTAAAATATATTCTGCGGTTGGAGAGCAACCATTATCGTTTCTGTTTGATTATATATCCCACAACAGGAAGGACTGGACATCGAACCTGTTCTTGTACCATTTTCCTTTAGAATGGATGTCCAGATTAATGGGGATAATGATATTTCATATTTATTAAAGTCTAGAAGGGTTGGGAAAAATGAAAAAGAAAAAAACCAAACAGTCGTTATAACGAGATAAAAAGACATTTTTACACTTACTGATTTGTGTAAGAACGCTGTAGATATTCAGAATATAAATAAGCCTTTTTGAGAGTGGAAATGCCTATATATCATAGTATTCCTGATAATAAAGAGTATTTTACAGATTGGCTTTGATAAATAAATGAACAAATATATCTCAGAATCGTGTTGATAAACAAATCAAAAACCACTTCATAAATTCTGGATCCCTGTGACTGAAAACGCGAAAAAAATCAGTTGTTATAACTTTTTTAATTGTGAACAAGTATACACAAATCATATCACATACTAGCTTTAATAAACAACAGCGAGTTAAATTATCACTGATTTGCATTTTAGAAGTTTAAATCACAGGCTTGCTTTCGTGAATGAACATATGATAAGCTAATAAACAAAAAAAGTCACTTACTACCTTAAGCTTGAAGCGCTAATCACAGATTTGTTTTAATGAGTAAATTAATAGATATACTATGTAGCAAATATATCACAGGTTTGCTTTGCATGAGCATATTAACAAATATATCACAGACTTGCTTTGATGAGCACATTAACAAATATATCACAGATTTGCTTTGATGAGCATATTAACAAATATATCACAGAATTGCTTTGGTGAGCATATTAACAAATATATCACATATTTGCTTTGATGAGCATATTAACAGATGTATCACAAATTTTCTCTGACGAACAAAGGGAAAAAAAGAACATATCACAGATTTGTTGTGATGAACAATTTAAAGGAACAAACATACCACATCCTTTCCCGAAGAATAAAATATCACAGATTTGCTTTGATGGGCATATTAACAAATATATCACAGACTTGCTTTGATGAGCATATTAACAAATGTATCACAGATTTGCTTTGATGAGCATATTAACAAATATATCACAGAATTGCTTTGATGAGCATATAAACAAATATATCACAGATTTGCTTTGATAAGCATATTAACAAATATATCACATATTTGCTTTGATGAGCATATTAACAGATGTATCACAAATTTTCTCTGACGAACAAAGGGAAAAAAACATATCACAGATTTGTTGTGATGAACAATTTAAAGGAACAAACATACCACATCCTTTCCCGAAGAATAAAATATCACAGATTTGCTTTGATGGGCAAATTAACAAAAACATGTATATCGCAGATTTGCTTTTGATGAGCAAAGTAACAAATATATCACAGATTTGCTTTGATGATCAAATTTAAAAATTTTCTACTGGTTTAATGCTTTAGTGAACAAAATAACAAACATATCACAGATTTGTTTTGATGAACATTCGCAGATTTGCTTTGATAAGTAAATTGACAAATATATCACAAATTTACTTCGACAAACAAAGGAGCAAACATATAACAGCCTGTCCTGAAGAGCAGAGCAAAAGTATCACAGATTTGCTTTGATGAGCAAAATAACAAATATATCATAGACTTGCTTTAATGAACGTGTATCACAGATCTACTTGGTGAACAAATATATCAGACTTGATTGGTTGCATTGATAAGCAAATGAACGAATCAAACATGTCTAGAAGAACAAAAATACCACAGGTTTCCTTTGATAAACAATTCAAAAACCATGATAAAAATTTGCTTTGATGAACAAACATTTCATAGAGGTGGTTTGACCAAAAAATTTACATGTACATTGTACATATGTCTTGAATAAATCTTGTTTTGTCAACAAGTATGTTTTATTATTTTCTTGAGATATACCTAATAAATAAAATTTAAGGTCGATATTAAAATTTTGATTCCATCTTTGCGTCTAATCATTTTACCCTATTGGCAGAAAGGATAGGATTTTTTTCTGCCCATAAATGAAATGATAATATCATTCAATTTCACTATAAAAATGTTTTAGAAAAAAAAGTTAAATAAAAGATTAAAGATCAAAGATTTTTGTTGTTGTTTTTTTTTCTTGGGGGGGGGGTGTCTTTTAATTATTTATTTATTTATTTTTTAGCTATTTTAATCTTTTTTCCCCCTATTTTTTAAAATTTCATTTTATTTTTTTTAATTTTCTTATTGTTTTGTTTTTCTTTTGTTGTTTGCGTATGTGTTTTTGTGTGTTGTATTCTGATCCTTTGCTTGCAATTGTTTGTTGGTTTGAATAATAAAAAAAACATTATAGATTAAGGCATAAAGATAAAAGAAAATACAAAACAATGATCTAACAAACGAAAAAATGTAACGTAGCAAAAAATATGAAATACATAACAATAAAAAAAATAACAAAAAACATAAAATAAATTAACAATGGACGGATTATATAGGGCGGAGGTGAGCATTTTCTATGGTCTTTAGTTTGACATTCTTTGTAAAACACTTGCACAGAGGAAGAGATGATCTGAATGTATCACCGGTCAACACATTTAATCAGATAAACTGTCACCGGTCAAAACATTTGATCGAATACTGTCACTGAAGATGGCGCTTAACGACATGTCACGCACAGACAAATCAACAATTTGGCAAAAGTTCGGTCGAGTCATTTCTGACATAAGTTCACAAATTTTCTGCTGAAACCGCAAAATGGAAAAAAAAAGTGATGGAATCCTTTACACAATTTGAAAATATACATTCATAGTCACTCACAGTGTTTGGTAGTTGAAAATTGATCGGATACATGTTGCTGAAACATTGACAGGCATAGTTCTACTGAAAAAAATACAATCTATGAGTAATAAAACCAAGAAAATTAAATATCTTAATATAAATAATAAAGACAAGAATTCATAAAATAATAATTAAATAAATAAATAACTCCTTGTTGATTTAATAATACATGTATATTAAAGAATTCGTTATATTTTCTTGGGGTAAAAAAAACTACATATGTCCGATTAATATTAGGTTTTAAGGTATCCCACCCAAATATGAACCTAATTTTTCTAACCTTAAAATTAATATACATCATGCATAAGATACTCTGATATTAATTCAAAGCAGTTTGGATTAAAAAAAATGAATTACCAAGAGAAATTTTCAAAAATATAAATACATAAGCTGCAATTAATGAACGAATATTACATCGAGGTCTATATCGACAACCAAATTTTGAAAATGAAAATTTAAATACTAAGAATATCAATAAATGCTGTGGTGGAAAGATGTATTTAATCAATAGGAAAAGAAAAACTATTGGAAGCTAATTTTTTACCAGATAGATTTTTTTTAGAATTGATTTTTGTTTATTAAAAGCAAAGAGGGGCTAACTCTTATAAATTAGAGCACATTCCGCTCTTACATACTGATACTTAAACATGAAAATTTTAATTATCTAGATATACTGAGTATTCATCCAATACATATCTTTTATGCATTCAATTTCATTGAATCTGAAGCTGTATAGTGGGTCATATACCTTAATAAATGATACTGCAGCTAGCTTTTTACTGAAATATTAATTTGTATATATTTTACTACATACCTTATTCAGAAATTTTAAATGCCTGCGATCGACCTATTTTGAAGTTTCCATATATATACTTTTCCTTGACAGCAGGGAGTCGTCTACAAACACGTTCCAATGTTTGTGCAAGTTCCATACATGTTATTCTATAATCGTTGGTCCGTTCTTAAGTTTCATTCACTTTGTTGTTGTTCTTAATTACATGTAATTAATTATAACACTATGCAATCACGATAGCCCCATGGTGTTTTGTTTCCTGGGGCCGACAGTAGATTTCATTCAGACGAATTTACGTAGAATTATTCCAATGGTCCTTTGAATAAATTCTGTATATAGATCTATAATCTGGATTTGGATAAGTGATATATGTGCCACACTCGTTGATTTGCATGGGTAGTAAAAATTAACAAACCGTTTAAAATTCCATAACAAGTGTCAGAATAATCCGCCCTTTTATTAATGTTTAAATTTAAATGACACGATATAATTAAATCACCGTATCTCGGGTAGAATTAAGAAACTACATGTATTCTACATTCGACTGGTTGAACCGGATCGTTATAGGTGGTACTAGATTTTTTTAACCTACATGCACAATGACATCCACTTTTAATTTGTTTTCAATTGTCCATAATTTTATTTATTTTTTTCAAAATCAGATTTGTTAATTTATTTAAAGACAAAAAAAGGGGGGGGGGAAGAGAAAACAACAATTAAATAAACAGAAACAAAATGGAACATAAGTACAGACACATGAAATAGACATAAGATGCAAAGTATCATTTTGAAAGTAAAGAAAAGGGTGGGGGGGAGGGGGGAGAAATATATATTTGAAAACTCACCTGAACTCTTTGACAAGCAAAAAAAGAGTAATTAAATTCTTCAGACTGGAAAATCCTATTTCAGCTGGAGGGGGGGGGGGGGTTGGAGGGGGGGGGGCGACCTTCCAATGAACATATTCAATCTGATAGTAACAGGTTGTTTGGAAAAGTGGGGGAGTACCCCCCTCCCCATAGAACGTGCCTGCATCATTCAAGACAAATCCGAAAGAAGCAATTTTAGTTAGGGGTGGCACATTCGAACAGAAGAACAGAAATTCACCCCCCCCCCCAAAAAAAAGATCATCATATGTTATGATTGAGGGGCAAAACATTATATTACCTTAGTTTTCTAATGTAAATAGTTCCCGTTTTTTGGAGGGTTGGGGGATTTCTATATCCGCCCCAAAAAGAAATAGAAATCGGAAATAATTTAATACCATATCTGAAACATATATAGTGACCTTTTCTCGCTTGACTATGTACATGCAACTATCCATTACATTACTAGAAGAAAAGGTTCGTTCAGCCAACGCATTATGTTTAAAAAAAAAATCTATATTTATATACAATTTTTAATTTCTCCCCTAGTATACCGCGGATTTCAAAGATACTTACAAACATTGACTAATTAATTTTTGCTGCCCTTTTAAAGTTTTGTCTAAAATGAGATCATTTGTTCATAAAGTTTAACCTTTATATATGCAGAAGGATATATGGATATCGAGAAGAAAAACTTTAATAGATCTACTTTTGGACTTGCCTCGGGATGAGGTTTTATAAATTAATGCGAATTTTCATTTATTACTTTTTAATAGTAATAATAATAAGAAGAAGCAAAACATTTACATCGTAACATTACATAATAAACTATTTATTATATACTAGAATATATCCTAAATATTTGCAAAATAATAAATAAAATCGGGTTCGAGATGCAGAATTCCCAAATGAAGCAGAAGACCACAGACAGAGCGAGGTTGGTGGTCAGCGTGGTGTCCACTGTGGTGTCAATAGGTATATCAAATAATTGATAATATCAAGCATTACACAAATTTTTATAATTATATATTATATTATATTATGAATATCTAAATTCTAAGTATGTTTGATTCCCTAGGTCATAGGCACCTGAATTATCCATTCCTACCCTCTCTCTAAATAGAGGAGTAGGATTTTAGGCTTTATTAGCTACAGTATGTGGCCATATTACCTAGGTCACAGGCACCTGAATTATCCATTCCTACCCTCTCTCTAAACAGAGGAGTAGGATTTTAGGCTTTATTAGCTACAGTATGTGGTCATAAGTGAGTAATAATTGCATTTTTACCCTATAGGCCTGAAATACCAATTAAAAAAAAAGTTAATGTGAGGTCAATTTTAGCTTCACTTATGGCCAGGTATATTGTACTTCTAGGGCTGCACAATGATACCAATACTCTGGTGTATTGTGGTTCATTGATTTACAAAAATATCATATTGCAATACGTTTTGTCAATTTTAGATTATCGGTAAAATGCTTGGACTCAGAATTTCTTTAATAAAAACAGAGTTTGCGAATTGCGATCCTGCCAAACAGTGAGATGAAAGGGTATGGGTGCATTAATTAAAACTGCATTTCGGTGCATAGCTGTAGAACAACAAGAATTTTTTCTTTTGGTTATTTTTCAAAGTTATCTACATTCTGCATATAAATGGAAGTTAATAAAATAGGAAAAGGTCATTTTTAATTTTTATTGCAATATTGCACTACATATCGCAATACAGTTAAAAATATCACAATACAAAATTTCCAACCAGTACCCAGTCCTATCTACTTAATGATAAAAATTCAGGTGCCTACAGTGCCTATTTTATGTTCAGATTATTATTCCAGAATCATAAAATGGAAGACATGGAACTTTTTTGAAAGGTGCCCTCTCACTTTTGTAATCTGAAGATAGGTAAAAGTCTATCGCATCTTTATGTCATCCCCTCCCATCTCCCACCCCTTGTTTTGTTTCTCTTGTGTCCTTCCATGCTGATCTATCAATATGAATTTCGTTGTGTATTGTAGGAATGGACGTTTTTCAGAGTTGAGTGACCTTTGTACATGTTGTGAAGTAAAATAATAAGACATGGAGGAGGAAATAAGGCTAATCTCAACACGGAGTTCATTAAAACTTTGTCTTATGTCAGCTGCTAGGAACATTCTCCATTTCTTTGGGATCCATGATTATTCTTCTGAAGATGAAATCTGGGAGCAGGAGATAGTACACAGAATCCAGGTTATCAATCATTTGTCACTTATAATCACTTGCTATGCTTACACTAAGATCTAGGCCTGAGTATCGCAAGCTACCTAATGGTACGATACATATCACAATACAGTCATGCGATACCAATAACCAAAGTTATTTATAGGTGGACTTATAGTCTTAGCATTGCATTTTTTCGTTGCTACCTTGTTTTCAATCATTTTGTAACATTAAAATTTGTTAGTTTGCATGTAGAGTTTTCAAATAAGACAATGAAAATTAACTTGTACTGTATCACGATTCATACATGGTGATACGATACGCGTATCATGAGACCTTGCGATCAATACGATCGATGTATCGCTGTATTGTTACACCTCTACTAAGATTCATAATTATTTGATGCAGAATGTGCTCAATAGAGCAAAGAAAGTTCAAACTCAACAATAGATTTGTTTTGCTCAGTTATTATTAATTCCTTGTGCAAGCCATATGAGGCTCATAGAACAGCTGATAATTTATCCAGTTTCTGTGGTGCTAAGTAGGTGAAGGGTACTGATTCCCTTCAGCTTTGGAGTCCTAATACAGCTTTTACTCAGTACCTTTCACTTAATTTTTACAGTCTTAATTTTTCTGAAATATTGTCGTTAAGACCAAGACCTAGGTTTGATTAATTAGATAATTCTGTAGAATATAATAAAAGAAGGGGGGGGGGCAAAAAATGTATGTGATGTTGTTGCCCTTTATTGACAAAAATACTTCATATATTAGTTTTAGTATATTTATTTTTTACTTCAAAAGAATAAATCGATCGTCATGTTTCAGAATAAAATGTTTGGTTTGTGGAATGATAATGATATCACTGATGATGCCACTAAAGGCCTTGTTCAAGAGGTCTGGACCACAGTATCTGAAGTCCTGTCAGAGAAAGTGCACATGTCGCATGAGGCTGAAGATTATTCAACTGATCTGGACCAAGAAGGAAACTTCATGATTCAATTAATACCAGAAGAAGACCATTTAAGGTAATTAATGAATGCACCAGAGCTGTACAAAACAGCTGATAGGTTTGATTTGTCCCAGGGATCTACATTAACAGTTGTCCAATTGCCCGGGACAAGTAAATTCTCAGTTCGGGCAAGTGAATCTTACGACGTACCTGTCCGATCGGGCAAGTGATTTTTCTCATAGAAATGTACATATTTATTTAGTTTACATTAATTTAAATATATATATATAAAAACAATAAATTGAAGACTTGATTTCTGCCAGGAACCTGACTGACATTGTTTTTGCATTCCGAATTCCTTGTCGCAATTTCTGGATTATAAATACCTTTCATTTGAAAATCGGGTTCGTTATTCCGTTTTTTCCTAGGTAAATATGCTGTTCGTCTACATCTAAAATGTTCACTTCTTATTTGGAAATTAGATTAAATATTCACTCACAGAATATAAGTACAGTGTAACATGATGTATCCTGATCAAGGTAAAAATCGATGTATGTTACGTAGCAACTATCTTCCTTAAGCGTTGTTTCACAGTTATCTCAGAAAATCACGATTCACAAAAGAATCCTACCGAAAATAATTTTTAAAAATATGAATTTTATTAAAACAGAGGGTTATTGCTATATGGCAGTGTGTGTTACCAGGTAAAATTTACAAGGACAGTGGTATATACATTTATGTACAAACGCAGCATCAAAATTTTTTCAGGTACCTCACCTTGCCAAATTGACAGTAGTGTATTTGGTCACATTTTTTCTTGTCATAACATTTAAAGTAATATAAAAAATTCTTCTGAAGTTCTTTCCTTATTTTGGTCAACAAAGTTTTGCATTCGGACAAGTCAAAGTTTGAGATCACTCGCCAGAAGGGCAAGTAAATCTGAAAGTTAATGTCTATCCCTGTGTCCATTACTGATCTAAAACAAAAGTCCAAATTATATTTCCTTATTGACAAGACTGAAATCCTATTATTTGATTGATTTTATCTTTTCAGTGCTTAAAATTTTTACGATATACAGTTTACACTATCCATGCAGAGTTTTTAAAAACCATCGGTCCTACCAGCAAAACCGATAGAAAATTGAAATGTCTGATGCAATTTACTATGTCACCGATCCGAGTGACCGATCATTTTCTGCATTAAAAATCCACTGGGTTTTTTTTTCAAGTTTTCATTTTACCTGTAAAGTTTTGTGTTTTCTTTGTAATCTCGAAAGCCTTTAGCGAGTTACTTTCTGGCAATGTAGCAAAATAGATGATAATTCTAATCTACACTACTACGAATAATCTAGAGAGTTCTGAATGTCAACATGGCATGTAAAGTCGAAGCGAAAAAAAAAAAAAGTTGAGAAAATGAGTTGAATTTTTGTCTTTATATGGGTTATTTTTTAGGATAAAATTAAAGACATATATACAAGCTGAAAAAGATTTGTTATGAGTAATTTATTTTCAGTGCATCTCCTTTTGTTTTCTTCAAACTCGTTTTGGAGTGGATCCCGTTGCAACTATCGATATGTGTGACATATTTTCACTGTGATGTGGGCTTGTCTCGAGACTCGGTTAAGATTATTCTAATTAAATGTACTCTGACCTATTGAAATGCCTCACAATCGGTGTTGTTATGATCCGCAGAATTAATTATTTCCACACTCAATCTTAGTACATGTACTTTCAAGGTCCAATTATCTAGGTTGGCATTAATGTTCTGCAGCAATTTAATGTATACTTTCAGGCTAAACAGACCAGTCCTCCTAACCAATGTCATATTCTTTTGAATTTCATCATGAATTATACTAGAATTTATTCAGACTGGTAGTATTTGCTTCGTACTAATAGAACCCATTAAGTCATCAGTCCGAATGACTGATAGAAATATTAAGTTTTTGGAAACTCTGTACATGAGTACAAAATATTGAGTATACACATTTGTACTCGGAACATATTCCTCAGAGGTACAAATAAATCAACCAATATTATATAAATAGTGCACGTTTTTGAGGGTAACAGTTGAAATTGACACCCCAAGGAAAACCATTGTCAACCGACGCGTCAGCGGAGGTTGACAATGGTTTTCCGAGGGGTGTCAATTTCAACTGTTACCCTCAAAAACGTGCACTATTTATTTTATTATACTGAATGTCTTATTGATTTCGGATGTCATAAAAAAAATTCGGAGATCGTCGTTAAGTTCACGCTTAGAAAGCTTTCAAACTCCCCAGTTCTATTTTTCTCAATAAGAAAGCTTCGGAAAAGATTTACCAACCTCTCTATTGCTTGTTTGCTACTCAAAAAGTCCTTTATCATCTAAACTTTGCACTCGCAAGGATGTTTCGTCTGTCGTTTGTTGTTTTCAAGTAAGCTACATCGGACGCAAGCTTTTATTGACGTCGTTAATTCGGCTTCTTTCAAACGCACAACCGACGTTTTGAGAATTCTACGGTGAACCTTACGCGCATGATTTGAACGCATGTGATATTTTCGTAATGTTACCCAATGTCAAGTGTGTTGCTAACGCTGAGGGTAACATTACGGATTGTTAAATGCGTTTAAACCAATCAGATTTTAGTATTTAACATGAAAGTATAATAAATATATATATCCCATTATTTTACTACAGTGTGGACATGCATATAGCAGTTGCATTATAAAGAGAAAAGAAAACAATTAACTCTTAAAAACAAAATGTTTTACTGTAAGAATGAAAAGAACATTCAATTTACGGTAATACTGATATTTTTAAAAGCGTACATGCATGAAAATTTATATTTATAAAGTAAATTCAGATTTGAGTAATCCCCCTTTAGTCATTTGTGTCTTGTTTATATAGAGATACATTCTTTTAAAGGAAAAAAAAAAGAACATATGATGTCACAGCGGCTAAAAAAACTTGCATCATGGCATTCAGATGACTGATAAGGTCCATTTGCCTCTTTTTTTAAAAATAAGATATCATATGTAAAACCACTGAGGTATATAGATGTATACATTTCATGTTCCATGTATTAAAATTTTAAATATTAAACTTGAATTGAAGTTTTATTTATTACTGTAGATCAAAAATATTTGTGACACCTTATTTTTGTGAGATGAGTATTAATGGTATTTTTAAGCGAGACAGAATTTTCACGAATTCTGTTTATTGTGGTATATAATCTTTACTAATAAAAATATACAAGAGAATGAAATTTTCACGAGGAGACAGTCTCACGTAATTATGCGAAAATAAAGTTCTGGCAAATAAAAAGCGATTTACAGTAATATTTGCTGTTAACTGTAGGACACAAGTTTTAACCAGATTTGATTGGAACCAATCTGCTAAGAGCATAAAGGATGTGTCGCTTGAGTCCACAAATGGTCAATCGGGAGTGCCCACAAGTCAGTCATCTGAATCGACAAACAATGTGCAAGATACTTCATCAGAATACCAAGATAATGAAGTACATGTACCATCCCAGGAGGCAGAGTCTGCAGAGAATAAAGTGACTTCAGAGGAATTGGAGGTTATGGGAACCAGTGTAGACAATGAGAAACAGAGTGATCTGAGCCACCAAACAACAGTTCCAGACCAGGACAAAAGTGTTACACGACAAGATGACAACACTCTCCAACCATCAGGAAGAGTACCTCAAAGTGGAGGCATAACTGAACAGTCAGGACAAGAATATACCAAGAAAGTCACACGGGAAAGTGGGAATTCTTCTGTTAATGGAGGAAAAGATCAGAGAGAAGAAGCTTCCACATCAGCCAGATCTACGGTAGAAAATGAAGTAGAGGGAAGGAAAGTAGAAACTTATTCCATTCAGCAGAGAAAAGACTTTAAGGGAAGCAAAGAGGAAGCACCATCAAGCTCAAAGACAGCAAGTGAACAACTGAAGGGTTACTTTAGAGGAAATAAATTTGTTTCAGACAGAAGTAAAAGTGTGCGATTCAGTGTTGTTAGTGTTATTGATGAAAGAGACAACAATAGTGGAAATAGTGAGATAAATCCAGATGATCTGAAAGAGATAGAAACTTTATCTGGTACCAAATTGCGAGACACTTTAGATTTGGCTGGAGAGGAGGGGCAAACTTCCACAACAGAAGATGAAGCTACAAAATATGTACAGGTAAGGTTGATAAGAAAAATCACATTTACTTGCTATTTACTAGTATACATTTACTGGTGATGTTAATTAAAAATAAAAGTTTATAATTGTGTAGGTAACTGAATCTCTGACTGCTGAAGACTTTGCCTATGGGAAAGAGGCTTACAGGGATTATTCATTATATGTACAGGTTAGTTTGGTCTTTTAAGAAGGATCTGTCTATCTTTTTTTAAAATAATTTACAGAAAATAAATTTAAAAAAAAATGTTTATTTGTAACTGATGCTTCATATATTTAAAAAAAAAAAAGGTCAAAATTGTAGAACAAATTCATTTTCCATAACATACCTGGTACATATGATTTTGTTGTGGAAAATTCCAAATCCATTTACCAATAACATATTCTCTGTAATATTTTAATGAAATGAGGTAGTAATGTGTGAATGATTGAAAATACTTTGGGCAAAAATGGCAAAGTATTCAGCATTTTATTCTTAAATTAGATTGAAAGAAAGAATAAAATAAAGAAACTGAAAGAATCAAAAGAGCAAGCAATGGAGAAAATGGCATGGAGAATATCAAAGATTGATGAGATCATTGACAAAGCTAGAGGTATCTCAATGTTGTAATGATAAAAAAATGGCTTCATTAATTTCTTCAATTTAAGCTATTTGAGGGAAAATACTGTGCTTAGAAATTTATACATATGATAAAACATACTCATTAATATATTTAAAGTGGATTTCTTTTAATTGTACAGAATATTACCTGAATCCATCTGGTAAAGCAGCAGAGGCATGGAAGGAATTGAGGCGTAGCATTAAGTCCAGCAGTAATGTTGGCCTGGATAGCGATACAGACATCAGATATAAGTTGTCTAAGCTTCACTCTCATAGACCTATCTTTACCAGTATCATAGTGCTAGTATGTTCAATGTACTTATATTTGAACTCAAACATAAGTTTCATTAACTATTATCAATAAAATGGGTATTTTTAAGTATGTCACTGTGCATAGGATAAATAAGTTTGTACCATATAAATTTTATAAAATTTGATTTTACACTTAACTAACTTACCTAGAGTATATTTGCCAAATATACTGATTTTTGCATCTGGTCCTTCATTTTGCTGTAATTTGCTTGGTTGTTTGAATCCGGCTAAGAATAAGTTTTTTGGACATCCCCATGAAGACCATCTTTTAAAAACATGGATTTCAAAATATCATCTGAGAAATACTAATAATGCTTTTGAATATTTGCTTTGCCATTAGATACAAGTTGTTGCCTTTAGTGTGCTGTGTTACTTTGGTGGAATCACAAAAATTGGGTTTGAACCATCAATAGAACTTGCAGAAGGAGTACCAACATTCCTGGGTTCAGAGACAATTCATAAGTGGGTCAAGCCAAACATCTGGATGGGACCCAATGAAAAGTTTTGGATAAGTAAGTCATATACAGTCAAATGTCATTAACTCGAAATTGATGGGACCATGATTAAACCATAAGATATCTGAGGATTCGAAATAACAAAGTTAAAGAACATATAGAAAAAGTGGTTGGGACTGCCAAATCACTTCGATACATCCCTGATATTCAAGGTAATGGTGTTCAAGATAACAAAGGTCCACTGTAAAACCGATTTTGTTTAAAAATTGAATTTAACTGAAGAAAAAAATCTTTAGATATCCTTTCAATGGCCAGAGATTTTAAAGTAATGTTCATCTGAAGGGGATTCGTTCGAAAGGAAAAAAAATACACCACTGTATCAAGAAATACTCTTCATCAAGAACATGTATGTTTAATGTCCTATGAAATAAACAATGGGATGGATCCTATAGTGTATAAAGGTCACAGCACAAGGGTCACCCGAACTAGAAGTATGCGCAAGGATTTTTTATTTTTGCATTTTAAGGTGCAGTTTTTCTCTCTTTTCCTCCTTCCTTTTTCTTTGTCACCTTTCTTTAATTTTTTTCTTTCTTATGACACCTACATTGTTTATCTGCCTATTAAGCTGAACCTTTATCTGCATGAGTTTGAGGGGTGTGGAAATCTGGAAAAATGCTTTCATGAAACCTCTATGCCTTTCAAGTCAGAATCTTTAGTCTATTTTTAGCCATTATAGGCATTTTTATTTAAGCTATGACTGCATGTGGAAAGGATATTTTAATGTGTTCAAGCTTAACAAAGTCATAACATTATGTATTGATCAACAAATAAATTACTGTACTGTAGACGTACTTTTCTCCATGTGGGATTAATTTACGCTATGTATGCGGTCGCAGATTTTCTGGGGAAATTTGTTTCAATCCAAGGAATCAGCATAATTTTTTACTGTGGATTGAACAGAAAGAACTATATGCGGTAAAAGCATATTTTTGCCCCCATAAAAGGCAAATTTTGAAAATCTCTAGAAATGTAAACAATTGTTATATTGTATGAAAATCTTTAATTAAAGAAAAATATTACAGTTTGGAAGTAGTTTCTTGTCCATGCTTGTCTCTGTGAGGTCACAAACTATTTGAATTTTCCGATATTTTCAAGATTAATTAAAGGACAAAATGGGCAATATTTATCCAATTTTGAGTATAGAATTTACTGAGCGTAAGCTTGCTGCAAAGCAGTGTTCGCATATTTGATCGATATTATAATTGTACACTTAATATCAAAAGATGGAGCTGGAGCAGACCAGTGCTTGATGACTTTTAATCAATATATCGACGAAAAATACACTTTTTTCTCTCAAAATCATTAAAATATTGAATTTACGTCATCTTCATGACATCATATTTAACATATCATGTCACGGCTGATGAAAATAAGTAATACTCTCAAGTCTGCGAATACCCCCCCCCCCCCCCCCCCCCCCCTTGTTTAGAATGTAATTATAGATTTCTCCATCAAAGTTTGATCTGGGGGGAATTAAGATATAAGTCATTACCGAATATAGTCCTTTGATTCTGCAAAATTATGACCCCTTGAAAAAAGAATGTTTACAGTATGTGATATTATAGAAGCCTAATTCCTGAAAACATGGTTAAAAAAAAAACTTAATGATTACCAAAATATTTGACATAACAGTTCCAGACTGTGTGTTTGTAGGTGTAGGAGCTTTGTACTCTTCCTGTATGAGAGAGGATTACAAGTTAATGTTACAGACCTCCAAGAAGAACTACACCTCCACCATGGTTCTGGGCTGCTGTGAAGTTGCCAGCAGAAATACAGCAGGAACTCTGACACAAAAGGAATGTGACCAGGAAACTGGAGGTTAGATCTGAAGGCAGCTGGGGTGTGCTGGTGCCTTAATTGTGTATCTAATGGCACCAATAATCCAGTCACTACAGAAGGAGTTGTTTTACATTCCAGATGATAAGTTTTTGGAGCAGATACTTTTCCTTCACAATAATGTATTGTTTTCTTAAAAAAAAGCAATAATTAAGGTTAACTGGTCAATGCTTCATTTAATTGAAATCATTTGTTTGGGACTAAGCTGTCTGGAGAGCTACAGTGAGGCTGTGCATTACTTACAGAAGTGAAAATAAGTCATTTGAAGGACATTACAAGGAATTTCTTAGAAATTTATTAAAGATGTGATCGAGATCCCTCTGTAGCAGTAAAAGCTTGTAGAAGTAGTTTACTTTAACCTCACCCTAGGATCATGAAACATCATAAGCATGCACAAGCCAAAATCTTTATATTAATTTTGCAATGAAATGATGTATAGATGTAGTCCAAAACAAAAATGCTTTTCAACATTCGCTACTGTTGTCTTTAAATTAAGATTTTCAGTATACAAGTAATAAACATCATCTGAAATTTTGACTTAATTCCAAGTGTCTCCTGATCCTGGGGCTAGATTATCATAAATCAGTTAAAAGAGGCATAGGCCCTAAAGATGGAAAATCTGCAGTACTATTGCAAGATATGTACTAATTACTATAGAATTCAAGTGGCAGCTTTATTCTTTCCAAAATTTAATAAGTTGGTAACTAAATATATTTGAAAGTGTGCCATATATTTTTTATACACTTCAAAGTTACCAAAGAGAGTACATGAGTATTTCCTGTATTTGGCTGTAGGTGTGGGGATATGGCTGAATGGTGTCCCTTGTGGTGCTAGGCCAACAGGGCACAACAGTGTGTCCCACAACATAAAACCCTGCTGTGTGAACATCAGAGGAGAGTGTAGAATGGTGTCGCACAAACATTGTGAATTCTTAGAGGGAACCTTCCATCAGGAGACTGGCAAAGAACATTGCAGTCAGGTGATTAAGTGTGCCAAAGATGCAACTCATGTTTTGGTCTAATTGTTAGATATATGAGTTGAAAAGATTTCATTAGTTGACTTTAAGAGAAGTGAGTAGGCCTAAGTTTTAATTACTTCTGTCCAGTTTTAGAGGTGAGATAATCTCTCTTGACACAAAGTACAAGGACTGGTTGCTCTGAACTAAAATATCAAGATGTCATTTGTTATGATTTTAGTGAACAAAATTTCAATGTCAACAAAACAAAATGTGATTCTAACTCTTTCCTCAGCTATACTGCTAGCTGTCTCTGCATGACCTTGACAACATGCCTTTGAATCATTTGTAACAGGAAAAGAGAAAATGTATGACAGTCACTGGACTTGGAATCAAATCGGGGACCCCTAAATCACTAGTCAAGTGCTCTATCAACTGAGCTACACAGGCCAATATCCACGACCCAAACCATTACACTCCTTCCTCCTTAAGTTGTCTTTGCCCTCGAAGACACAATCCAAGTTCTTAATTTACCCCTAGCAGGATTTTAATCTGCAAGTCCAGAGGTGGTTAACGGCACTAAATCTGCATGTACCAAGAAAGGAAAAAATGTACAATGTATGGCTGGAGAGGGAATCAAATCCCTAGACCCCTGCATCACTAGTCAGGTGCTCTACTAACTGAGCTAGCTACCCAGGCGAATACCACACGGCCCTAACAATTACACATTTGTGTAAAATACATGTACATGTTTCTATATTTGCAGTGGGTAGGGAAACATCACAAAGTATCAGGTCTGAATAGGGTTGTTATCTAAGGATACTTGAATTTGGGAAAAATCTAGCATTTCAGACACATCCTTTATTTTCCCTATTTAAGAATTAGGGATGTCAAAATATTTATTTTCCTTAGTCGATTATTCGATTCCATTATTCGAACGATAGTCAATTATTCGGAACATTTTCTGAAAATAAAATTTTATTTCAAACTTCACTAGTGCATGACGTATTTATAACTCAAAAACTCTTTTACTTAAATATGTTTAAAAAGTAACATAAGAATTAATGCAATGTAACCTTTGATAGCATGATTATTTGAAATAAATTTAGAAATCTAATTCTCCAAAATTTATGATTTCCCCATCGATCAAATTCATAAATTGGTCTGTACATGCAGAGTGAGCATTCAAAAATTGCTAGCCGATATTTTTTAAAGTTTATTATGAAATAAATTGGGGGGGGGGGAGGAGGAGGAAATATCTCACTATCCAAACACCAGGTGGTTGTTAAATTGTTAAACAGTTAGTAACTGCTTATTCATTAATTGACTGCTCTGGCTATCAGAATGTCCTTAATTATGAGTTTAAAAATGCAAGCAAATTGTTTTAACAATTAGTGTCAAAACATGTCACAGCTATGGTTTGTTCCTTGCATTTGAGCAATCTTAAAATAAAAGATAATTGGTACGTCGTATAAAATCAAGTCCAATTAATTATTTTACAAACAAAGCCCAATATATATATTGATGGTTGATTTATTACAAAAACAACACAAGCAGTAACTGATAGATGAATCTCGCGGTAGTGAAGCATTTATAATTACTGTACTTTCTACACACACACGGAAAATCAAGTTTTTTGTAGAGGAAAATTATCAACTGTCTCCGAGGAAAGACGGTTTCTCAATTTTGTAATGAGAATTCCATATTGTTATCACTCTTTAATTGCATTTTTAAAATTATAATATTCGAATGTCGTTTCATTATTCGATCGTTGGTCCATTCGACTGACAGTCGAATAGTCGACTATTCGTTGACATCCCTATTAAGAATACAAAGGTTACAGAAGCTTGCAGATGTAGATGAGCAAACAAAGTAAGCTACATGTCAAAATTGCACTCTAAGAGTTTGCATTCATTTCTTAGTCAACCTTTAATTTGGTCTTTACTGAAAATAGTGCTTTAATTTATTTCAAAAAAATTACTTGCATATTCTCAAATGAAGCCCTGATTTTTTGGTTGTAAGCCATTAGGACTCTACCCTAGCTGTGCATATTCTGGTATAATAATTAATCTTTTTCTTGTCTTAATACCAAAAAAAAAAATGCAGATATACTGAATGCAAATTTGATAGACAAACAATTGCTGAAATTCACCTTAGTGTGCACATTATTTTCCATTAAAAATGCAATGTCCTTGATTTCAAAGCTTCCATATATCAGAAGTTAAGTTTAGGAGTTGTCTTTCTTTTTGTTGCTAAAAAACATGAACTAAACTTAGTATCACATTTCAGCATCCACGTCTTAATTGATCCACCCAAAAATTTTCTTCCATGGCAGCCTGCAGTAAGGATAGTCATCTTTTCTTATGAAGTCCTTTTCAACTTTTCTAAATATTTTAATAAATTAATACCCAGTCCTTCAAATTTTGTTGATAGAGGTATGATATGATCATTAAAAATTTAAGGCTGGCCTGTAGTTAGTCCTTATTGGGCACTTTAAATGCCAGGTTTCTATATAGTTTTAAATTTGTTACTTTTGAATGATATTAATGGCTTTCTTAATTTTGAAATTAATGTCGTAGGCTGTCAGGTACCAGTTCAAACCTATTACAATTTTATTTATACATCTACAATGTTACAGCTGTTATGCACTTTAATAGTGCTCGTTGTTGATTCTAGATTAGAATTACATGTACTTATGTTGCTGAGGAGTGACTTTTTAGGCCTCTTTCCCTCATTGTTTTCCTGGTAGCTGAATATTGTTGAATTTAATGTATAATAGCAAACTCAGAATTCCATAGTTTATATAATATATATAAGTATTGGTTACTGAACTTAATCCTGTCATATGCATCTAGAGGCATTAAGTATTCCTTTGTATTGCAATAAAGCATGTAAGTGACTTAGGTAAAATGCCAATATGGTAAAGGGAAGCAGACTTATTAGCTTACAATGAAAGACTGTTGCAAGTGAAGTACATGCACTTTCATTTGCATGGACATTTATGAAACACGTCAAAACTGGTCAAACTTTTCTCCTTTTGACTGAATAAATTCAATGTAATTACATAAACTGTAAAAGTGGAATACATTGCAGTAGTTTTAGTTTCACTTTGTTCGCTGTCAAAGAATTGTCCATAAAAATTATACAATTGTGAACAAATATGCCATTCTGAGTATTGTTGACATATCAAGGCGCTCAATTACACTAAAAATCTCGTTTTCTTATATCATATACTAATGAAATAGTAAACCATTAAACTATCTAATGAAATAGTAAACCATTAAGAAACTCATGGTCAATAACTATGGTGGGTTAAAGTTAGTTACTGCATATGTTTATTTTTAATATTTACCAATAACTTTGTTTGTTTTTAAAGAATGATTTATAAAATTGGAAATAATTATGAAAGAGAAATTCAGTAATAACTAAATTTAAACCACTGTGAAATATACAAACATAGGAAATTATGAAATATTAAACTCTTGCAATTAAAAATATGTATTATTAAAATGATACATTTTTTATTTTCTTATATACTAGGTTAACTGCATCAATGACCTTTGCATTGGGAAGTTAGGTTTTATGATATCCTCTATCCCGGGCAAGCCTGAGACACCGTGGTTGTCCCAGGCTCCTCAGCAGTGGTGGCGCCTCCCCCTGTCTGTTCTGTATCACCATGGAATAATCCATGCTTTGTTGGTAATAGGAGCACAGACTTTGATACTGAGGCACATAGAAGTGACCATTGGCTGGCTGCGTTTGATTATACTATTTATTGTGTGTGGATGTGGAGGTTTGCTGGTAAGTAGGTGTCTGCTATGATGTATGATATCAGCTAATGTTCAGATTTAGATTAAGACCATATCTTATGATTATATAATGTTTTTGCTGCAGTTTATCAGGCCCAAAATTGAACTTTAGGTGCCCTACAGTAGCTGTAATCACTGCTGTAATCAATCTGTCTGTCTACCTGTCTGTTTATTATGGTCAAGATCTAGTAAATGAAAGGAGCCTACAGATTTCTCCAATTTGAGAAATAAATTCCTTTAATCATGCTTCATAAGTACAGCTTGGTCAAATTAGGTGTATCGGGGTATATTTTGTAGGTAGACAAGAAGAAAAGTGATATTTAAACTGTCTTTTTCACTGAAAAATAAAGAAAATCATTCATGAATTTAATATGGGAGTTTTTTTTCCTTATTGGACAAAAGAAATGTATCCAGATTAAGAGATCATTGGTATAATTAAATAGTCAAGATCAAAACTATTTTTTTCCTTCACTCATTTTTAGGGATGTGTGATTTTATTAGTATACCGGTATTTCATGATTTTTTATTGCAAGATATGTATCGTGATACGGAGACTAAAATACCGTTATTTAGTATGTAATTATAAATTCCGGTATTACCGGTAATTAATTTTGTTGAAACTCTTGAATTACAATATAACAGGAATCAAAATGTGTTGTAAAACACAAAAACAATGGCATCCTAGCATCCAAACATTAAATTCTTTATAAATACATGTTAATAAATAAAAATGAAAAAAGTGAAGTTAAGTTTTCACACTAAATTTGATAGAAAAATCATGGAAATTCATTTAAAATCAATAAAAATTATGTGTAAAAATATCATGATATTATCGTGATATTTTTTTTTTAAAAATCATGATATATCGCGAAACAGAATTCTTGGCGATACCCATCCCTACTCATTTTCATACAGAAAGATGTACCTAATACTGATACTAGAACATTTACTGTTTGGTAGGGAGTGAAAAATTTCAATTTGATATACTTCCAAAAAACCATAAATTTTGTTCCACTAACATGAAACTTTATCCTTTTAAAGGCAGTAATGACTAATAAGCCAGATGTAAACAAGATGTGTTTGTGAAACACTGATGCACCTGTATGGCAGCTTATGGCGAAGGTTAAAGTTTCTTAAATGCAAGTCAAACTCCAGGTCAAGAAATCAAAAATGTTGGTACGCAAAGAAAGGTCTTGTCTCGAGGAATATACTTGTGAAATATGAAAGCCCAATACAAACTGTTGAAAAGTTATGGCGAAGGTTAACATTTTTTTAAAGTAAGTAAAACGGCAAGATCAAGGTCAAATGGTGCCCAAGGGAAGTTCTTGTCACAAGTGATACACATGATCGTGAAATTTGAAAGCGCTAGAACCAAACATTCAAATGTTGTGGCCAATGTTAAAAGTTTTTAAAAGTAGGTCAAACTCCAAGGTCAAAGTCAATGCCAAAATTGTTAGTATAGGAAGGTCTTGTCACAAGGAATATACACGTGAAGTATGAAAGCCCTAACTTCAACTGTTCAAAAGTTATGGCCAAGGTTAAAGTTTTTCAAATGTAGGTCAAACTCCAAGGTCAAGGTCAAAGATGTTGGTATGCTAAGAAAGGTCCTGTGACAAGGAATACACATGTGAAGTATGAAAGACCTAGCTCAAACTGTTCAAAAGTTACAGCCAAGGTTAAATTTTTTTCCACAGTAGGTCAAACTCCAAGGTCAAAGGGTCAAAGATGTTGGTATCTAAAGAAAGTCCTTTTCACAAAGAATACACTTGTGAAGTTTGAAAGCCCAAGCTCCAAGTGTTCAAAAGTTTTGGCCAAGGTTAAAGTCTCATAAAATTTTGCAAAAGTGGGTCAAACTCCAAGGTCAAGGTCAAAAGGTCAAATGTTATGGTACCCAAAGAAAGGTCTTGTCATAAGAAATACACATGTGAAATATGAAAGCCATAGCTCCAACCAGTCAAAAGTTATGGGCAAGGTTAAAGTTTTGCGGACAAACAGACAGACAGACGGACGTACAGGACAAAAACTATATGCTCCCGAATCTTCGATTAAGGGAACATTAAAAAAAATTAATTCTTATATCTGGGGGTGTTTTCCTGGAGGACAGCCTTGGTGTAATAAAACGGATTTAAAATTCCAGGTTCATATAGCCTACCTGCGGCAGCCTAGGGTATATTTTACTATAGAACTGCTGGGGATTTGGCACAAAAACTAAATATTCAATTGAATAATGTCTTCTGAATTTAAGAAATCGGATGATTTTTCTCACAAGTGAACAGTGACATCTTACTAATTAGAAAAAAGTGTATAAATATACATGGTTGAATTTTCTTTTTTTTAAAAAAAAAAAAAAAAAGAAGGGATTAAAAATTGCATAATCATTGTTTTGGATATAGTTAGATAAATGCATATTACATAATCCACAAAAACTTCATGATAACAGGTATTCATGTTTATCTTTTCATCTGGATCTTTTTTTCTAACACTAAAGCTAAACAAATTTGATCTATTCAAATATTATGTTGAATATAAATATAGAGAAAAAAACATTACTCATGGATAGAGTGCAGTTTTTCTTGCAACAACCATAAATTTCTCTAAAATACATAACAACTGTTTTTACAAATTGTAATTAGTCTACATATCTAAACAACAGCTTGGACATCAAAATGATTAACATCTGATAGGTTGATAAAATTTCCATTCTTTGAGCAAACCATTTCTTTCTGTCAGTGTAGAGCCTACTTTTCTTTTAAAGTTTACTTTATGATATTTAAAATTGTTTTACTTTTCGAAAGCACACAAGGCTTTCAAAAAGATTACGAACAGGTGGTACTTTTACAAAAATAGCATGTATTTTGTGGAAGTTTAATTAAATATTGAATTTTTCTCCAACAAATGTATTTTGGCTCGTACAATCATGATTTCAGCCTGGTAAAAGTACTGGGTACTGGCAGATTTTAGAAGACCTGTGTTATTTAGAAAACCTTATTGAATAAGTCAAACAAATTGATGAAATGAGTTGTGGACATGCATTTAATACTCTCATACATGTGCCTGTGGAAGAAGACATAATTTTATCCAATTTAAGTTTGAGTTTCATTGACAATGTTTTTTTATGCTTCATGTTTTTTAATGTGCTAAAATATCATCTTAATGTAATTCAGTGGAAAAAGGATTTCTCTCTAGATAATATTTGAATGTCCCACAGCTACTTCGATCAACCTTTGTTTTAGCTAGGTCATCTGAGTCCTTCAAGTTACCTATTACGATCTGTTTATGTCTGTGGCCATGCATCATCAGGCGTTCCGTGAACATATGAACATTTTCAGCTTCTCTTGAACTGCTAAACCAAATTCAACCAATTTTAATGCCCCTATGATCAAAGATTCAGAGGCATATAGTTTTTGCTCTGTCCATATGTCTGTCTGTCTGTCAACAAAAACTTTAACCTTGCCCATAACTTTTGATTGGTTGGAGCTAGGTCTTTCATATTTCATGTGTATTTCTTTTAACAAGACTTTCCTTTTGCAATTGGTACCAACATATTTGACCTCTTTATCTTGGAATTTGATTCTTTTTGCAAAATTTTACAAAGCTTTAACCTGTCCGTAACTTTTAAACAGTTGAAGCTTCCTAGGATTTCATACTTCACATGTGTATTCGTTATGATTAATACCTTACCTAAGGTACTAAAATGCAAATAATTTTAACATTTTTACCTTGACCTTGGAGTTAAACCTACTTTTAAAAAACTAACCTTGGCCATAACTTCTGAATGTTTGGTGCTATAGCTTTCATATTTCACATATGTTTTCCTTGTGACAAGAATTTTCTTTTTGTACCAACAATTTTGACCTTTGACCATGACCTTGGAGTTTGACATGGCCATAAGTTTTGAATGGTTGGAGCTATGGCTTTCATACTTTATGGATGTTTTTCTTGTTACAAGACCTTCTCTTGAGTACCAACAATTTTGACCTTGGAGTATGACCTACTTTTGAAAAACTTCAACCTTGGCTATAACTTTGAATGGTTAGTGCTAAGGCTTTCATATTTTACATGTGTTTTCCTTGTGACAAGAACTTTCTTTTTGTACCAACAATTTTGAGCTTTTGGCCATGACCTTTGAGTGTGACCTACTTTTGAAAAACTTTAACCTTGGCTATAACTTTTAAATGTTTGGTGCTAGGGCTTTCATATTTCACAGGTGTATTCCTTGTGCCAAGACCTTTTTCTTAATTACAAATATTTTTTATCTTAAACTTTGATCTTGGAGTTTGACCTACTTTTGAAAAACTTTAACTATGACCATAGTTTCTAAATGATTGCTGCAAGGGCTTTCATATTTCACAGGTGTATTTCTTGTGACAAGACCTTGCCTTTGATTACCAACATTTTTAATCTCTTGACTTTCACCTTGGAGTGTGACCTGCATTTGAGAAACTTTAACCTTTGCCATGAACTGCCATACAGGGGCATCAGTGTTTCATAATGCATCTTGTTATGTATATAGCATCTATAATTAAAGGGGGAGAAAAATTGTGAATTTCATGGTCCCTTCTCCCCTAGGGCCTGAGGAGTGGGGACAAAACCTTAAAGATTAATGCAATCTTCAAAAATCTTTTTTGACATCAAGCAGTCAAACTTGTTAGCATGATTGTAATAAGCATTGAGTCCTCTACCAAAATTATGAAATTCATGTCCCTAGGGTCAGAGTTCTTGTGCTGGGGTGGAGTTATATAGATCGTATAGTGAAAGTGCATTATTTTTTTTGAAAATTTTCTTCTCTGCATCTGGGTATTAATCAAACTAATTAAATACATAGTTATGATGAGCAAGGGTGTTTCATTGAAAATTGTGAATTTCATGGCCCCTATGTCAGTGGTTCTGGTGTTAGGGCACGGGTCTATTGATTGTATAGTGAAAATGCATTCATTCTTTGAAAATCTTCTTCTCTGCTCCTGGGTATTATTTTAACATACTAAATGCATG